CAGGTAACAAGGACTAATATAGCTCTCGCACGGTAATTCCTTGGAGAATAACTGCCAGCTTAAGAGGAAGCTGCATGAACTTGAGATTACGATTCGGCACTGAAGCGAAGTCGTTGGAGTTTACAAGATCAAGTGCCCAAGTTTCTCTTATCGTCTCTTATATTTCCTTTTGCAGAAAATAGCGAAACAGCGCGCGAAGAGTTATCCCGCTGCCTCCATTTATATTATATAACGCACGCGAGCTGACTTTCTATAAAATATTTAGTTGTTTATCGTATGTATATTTAAATAAGTTCTCTATTGCAAGTTTAATGTATCGTGAGTGCCGAACATTTCTTGTTTTACACAATCACGATTGAAACACGTATCTGGCCCCACTTTTATACAAGATATACAAGGATTTTTGTATCGGTCCGCGATGGCATTTTTCACGGCATCTTCCGTTTTCATCCCTCGTCCCCGTGTCTTTCCAGCCTGTTTGTCGAGCGTTTTATCTTTCCCTTCGGGCCGCGTTTAATAAAGTCATGCGGCATACGCGCCACACGGTTGAATGGGAAAACCGCGCGGCGCGGCGTTATTCAATGTCTACCTCTTTGGTTGCCAATCCTTTGTGTAAACCGACACGTTACGAGGGCTTAATTTTCGCACGTGGTGCGCGTTGCCCATTGACCCAATAAAGCCGGACTTAAACTTTAACGGCTGCCATCGTAAACCGCGCTCGTTTCGATGTGCATAGACTGTTATGCGCCAGTCGCGGTTTAGCATAGCGGCTGAAACGAAATGCAAGATCGACAGGAATCCGGCTGTCGTCCTCGTTTCACCGTCCGAATAATCACGATGAACTATAGCGGACTACACGGAACATAATCACAATATCGGCTCACAATGTCTGTCTAAATTGTAAGATTTTATTATTGCATAATATTGGCGTGATGATTAAAAACAAGAATTACAAACGGGAAGATCTAGAATTACGAAAATAATGACGCGTTACGAAAATAATGACGCATTTTGATCTTCTAAAATATACAATTCATTATTGTATATTTTACGGCTACCTCATTTAGAGATAATTTATTTGAGTAGGCAGAGAAACGTCAAACGTGTCCCGTTTCCGGACACCACTACACTTAAAACCGACGTTGCAGAGAGCTGTTCGGCGCAGATGACATCATGATGCAACCAACGAATTTTTGTACACCCCCGTCGCTGCGGCTTGTATTCGCTCTACACGCGATCCCTGCCATTTCATCGTTGCGCAAATATATATATATATATATATAACGAACATTATCGCGTCGCAACGAGAGCCGTTAGGTGGTTTGTCGCCTCAATAACGGCGCAGTTATACGATGATGGTTGTTTAATGATTTGCAGTCCGCCGGCACCGCGAATCGCGTTCCCTTTTTTTTCCCTGCTGTTATATCGTATTCGAATGTCATTTCTGCCATTACTGTTCTCGCAGTATTTCACGCTTCTTTGGAATGACATTAGTTCACTCCAGATTTAAGAAATTAACTACTGACTGTGTCGTTTATTCCGATCGTATAAAAGAACAATCTCAATGAGTAAATACTGTATACCGAATAAAACAAGTAACAATGCTCGTATTACGTATATTCCATGTATTTTCATACATGTAAAGTTACGTTTAAAATTTTAAAAGTATTTTTGCAGTGTTCAAGTTTTCAAGTTTTCAATTCAAGTTTTAGTCTTGAAAATTTATTCAATAATCATAGATATTATTTCGCACTGAAGTTCGCTTCAATCATTATTAAATTGTTCATAAAAAACAATATAGATCCTACATACACACACGTTACAAATTTCAGCCGTTTTAATAATGTCACCATATATTCACGCGTTCTACCTTTTCTACGTATGCCCGTTCACGAAATCCTCTCCCGCGGGTCGTATACAGGTTTGCTTAACGGCCCGTATAAAGTTTACGGGCGTTCCGGTTGAAACAGCGGGAGAAATTTCTTTCGAAGAGATTCATTCTGGGCAAGAGATGGGGATCTCGTGTCGCCTTAAAGGTGTCGCACAGTCCGGCTCGTATCGATTTGCGCGGTTGAGCAGTCGATTACTTACTATTACTGTCAAACTTAATCAACTGCAATCGCAAGTGAGAGAAGATGTAACAATAGAACGAGTAGAAAATACAAAAGGACGGATACAAACTCGAAAATTATACGGTAGGAGAACAAAGAAGAATTATGATAAAGAGAGAATGGATATTAACGGATTTCTAAAGAGAATTTTGCGGGATCCCGATAAAAGAATTTTATAGTGGCGCCTACGTTGCCGATGTCGATCCTGGAATAAAAGATGAACCGGTAGTTTGCGGGCGCGCTTTAAAGTTCTCATCAAGCGATCGAGGTCTGTGGGACACTTCTGTGTCTCATTGTTCCCTTTGTTTAGTGTTTACGCTGTGTTGTACCGGGACTACAGTGCGGCATGCCCGGCGGCGTCGGTGACGTCGGGCGACTACGACGGACCTGGAAGAGCGAGGGGAACGAGGAAAACGAGGAGGTGAGGTCGCCGGTGCGCCGGGGAGAGAAGCTTTCATTAAGCTTGCATTGTCCCAGCACCGCGCTATTATAGCCGAGTGAATAACTTCGAGTCATCCTGGCAGTCATGCCGCCCCTCCTTTCTCTTCCTCCTTCTTCCCCATCGCTCCGTCTTCCGTTTGCCTTCCCTCGTCTTTTCCTTTTTTTCATCTCGCACGCCATCCGCACGCTATTCCCGTTCTCCTCGTTTCGCTTCTGATATTCCGTGCGCCCCCCCCCCTCCCCCTGCGTGCTGCAACCCTTCTCGTCACATTTTCCGGGGTGGCTCGTCTCTTCCTTCTCTCGCGCAATTTGATGCATCTCCAATTTATTCCGCGGCGGCTGTCCCGTTAGTCGCGGTGTGATATTAACGAGCCGAACGGCGATATAACGGTAACGGCAAATCGCTCGAGCGGCGCCGGAATGGCATCGAGCGACGTCCCGTTCGCCGGGGCGCCATCAAAGCGCGTGGATATTTCCACTGTTCGTATCATTCATCGTTGGTGACGATGGTGGTAGTGGGACCTTTTAACGAATATGACCTCGGGCACCCGTAAAATCTTAACTGTCCCGTTCGTTAATTACTCGCCACGACCTCTTCGTATCTATACCTCATTTGTTAGACGACAATTTTGAAAACCTCCCCTTCGTGTCGTCTCTCTTGGTCGTTCTCTCTGCAAACCTCGTTCGTCCATCGTCCTATATACACGCTAGTTGGATGCTTGAATTCCGTTACCCACTTTCGTGTTGGTCGTTAATGACACAGGAGGGAAGCTCGTAGTGAACGTAGAGGAGGAGGACGATTGCCGGAGGTACGCGGGAGGAACGCGTCATCTCCGACGATTACGTTTGATTTCTAGAGGTACTCGATGCGTTCAATTACTTCCTTTTTGGGATTTGCTTCTTCATTATAACGAGCGTCCCGATAGCCAACGCCTTCCTTTGCTCTTGTTCTCTCGCTCTCTCTTCTCTCTTCTTTACATTGTATTTATTCGGTGATGATATGAAGTTATGTCGCTGCGCATAATGTCGCTTCGGGTGGGAAGGGTGGTTTGTATTCAGGAAGCGAACTCTGCGCGAAAGCAGGTCACAATGAACCTCCATAGTGGAAATAAGCATCCTACGGATTATCTCCAAACAAAAGATTTATGCAGATATTTATAATGCGAAAAGTATTTCTGTATTACTAAAACGTCAAGTTTAAAAGTCCAAATCCATAAATATTATTTGATCCAAAAACAGAAGGAATGATATGATACTTAGACTTATATTAAAAGATTAAAATTAATAAATATGATAATATTATCAGTTTCATCAACATTTCTATATTCAAAATAAATAGCAAATATACAATATACATAAAGATGTTGCATTACGATATAAAAATTTTTTCATTTTTACGTTTATATTATTTTCTGATTGAATTTATTAAGATTATTTATTAAATAATCTCTCTTTTTTATTTGTGAATGACATATATTTTTTTACAATGTATTCAAGATGACGGAAAGATCACATCAATGATGAAAAATGATAAAGAGGAAAATCGACAGCGTGTAAGAGACTTTTCTATTCACTATTGTGAATTGTATCCTCAGTAATCTATCTTGTTAAAGTCTACTATTTTTTTCGAAAATTGGCTATTTTCGTGTACGTAGAATTCAATCTGCAGTAGCTGATATCTCCGTACGAAGAATCTTCCTCGTACAAAGAATGACTTTCGAATGTAGAAATCAGATTACGTTGGCCAATACATTTCAAGATTACCGCGCGGAGATCTTACTCGGAAATTGCAAAGTACCAAGCTAGTGGAGTTGCTTTCGTCCGTGAAATAAGATTGCAATTCGCAATTGCTATGACCTTTCGAATTACTTATTAAATGATACTGTTTTCATTCTGGATTTCATTATAAAATTCATTTAGCTGAATATTACGCAGAAATAGAAAAAACTAATGATATTTTATGTAAGATATATTTACGACTTTATATTAATTTTCAAAATATTTTGATATTATATTTGAAAATAGAATACTAAAGACAAAATAGAATTATACTAAATATCATTTTAATTTAGTTTATTTTTTTATGTAAACTAGACATTACAGCGCGCTGCGGGCGCGCTATTTATCTTTTTCAACACAGAAACAAAAATGAATATAGTACTATTATACTATTGTTACACAATAATATTTTTAACTTCTTGATACACAATTGTTAAAACATTCTCGCTGTGAGATTAATACAATGACAGCTATTCACGAAGTTAGCGCAGCGAGAGAACCAATCAGCATCGCGGAAAAGCGTCAACAATAAACTTCGAGAAAATTTATAGAAAGGAAAAATAGCTTTAACTAATAACTTCACTTTTTTTCTTTTTCGTGTTTCTCTGTGAAACCACAGAGTGCATCAACGTCGTGGCATTGACACTAATTGCTTAATACCTGTTTCAGATACTCCATCGTTCGCGATAACGCGTTTACCTGGTTTTGGAATTCCGATCGTCGAGGGGATGTCTGTCAGCCTGAAATGCGAGGTAGACAGCAATCCAGCCAGTACTCCAATTTGGCAACGTGGTAAGTGGCGAGCGAAAAAAAATGAGATTTCGCATGCGGCGTTTCATCTTGTTTCTCAATCAAGCTCAAAAGAACATCTAACTTTTAATTTAATCAATTTTAGAAACGCCTCGCGCAGAATAATCTTATTTATAAATAAAATATATTTTAAAAAATTTTTAACGTTTAAATATCTTACATACCCTCGTAGAAAAAAGAATATTTCATTTAATATCTGCTTATTTAATTGAATTTCTATTTGAGTCTTCATTATATTAGAACACATTTACCTTTCTTTGGTCTGATATGAATTTTATGATATTCATTATTCAATATGAAAGAATTCATAATTTTTTTCCACATTTTTAGAAAAGAACAATTTTAAGAAAAAATTATAATTAGTTAACACAAATAAGTTATATAAATTATATTATAAATTGATCTTGTTGATATTTTAAATTTCATTAACATTATTTATTTTTTTGCATAAAGTTCTTACAAGTTTAAAAAAGATATTTATTATAATAAATATTATTTGTATCATGTATATTTTATCTTCCATTTAAAATCCGCTATTAAATAGTATAATAAGAAGATTAATTCTTCTAGGCATATATTGTCTGTATTTTCCATGACCGAAATAAATTTTTGGCAATTTACACACGTTCGGTAATGAGATTTTTAATGAATACTACTATTACAAACAATCTCTTACCCGAAGCGAATTTCAATCTAATTTATATCATTCGTAAACAAACACATTTTACCTAAGTATAAATTATAGATTAATCCGTAATAAACATTTTCTTCATAAAATACATATGAAAACATTACTAGAATTTTTATGAACATTCAACACATGTCATATAAATAAAAAAATAAAATTTCTGAGATAAATACTATTTTTTTCCAATCCGAAACGAGTTTTATTTTAATAAAATCTTTACATTGATTTATATGACATACAATTATATTCACAATTTGCTAAAAAGTTGTAAAATAAAATGCAATAATCTCTTCCGAGTAATTTCCAGTAGGAAACTCAATTATTAGTGAAACTAATAATCACAAAGAGAAAATCCCCATTCAAAATAATGCGCAGCTTAAAAGTGTAAAAAGAAATTCATCCGCTTTAATAATTGTTTTTTTTAAATTGTTTTTTTACCACAAATGTTTACAATTTAGAAGGGCTTCTAGTATACCCTATACGTACATACGTTTGCAGGCGACGCTGCGGCAGACGGCGAGTTGCGAAGCGCACGTGCATTATTTCGTGCAACTCCCCGTTCCCTACAGCTAGGAAACGCGTCACGTTGTAGGTAGACACGTTAGCGCGGGCACGTGTAACAGCAACGTGAGCATAATTTAATCACTGTAAACAGGCACTTGGATGGGGTGGAATCTGATGCACATGACCCTCGGCGTAATATCGGCTTCGTAATAATTCTAAAGGAGACGTAACTTATCTGCAAACGCATGCGTCAATGCGCCGATAAGGCGTAATACGGGTTATAATCAAATTATCGAATTATCTTTTCACACTGGCTCTTTTCTAGGTGAAAAGTTATTGATTCTCAAAAAATGCGGCTCGTGACCGCGCTTGTCACCGCAGAAAACTGATAATTCATTTTCTAATAATTTATTATTTGATTAAATTTGTATCATGAGGGAAATTTGGTTCTTCTTCATATAAAATGAATGAGTCAGCGATGCAATTGGTATTGCGGTATTGAAATTGAAAGATTAATTGCACAGATAGTAGGGAAAGTGAGCTGACAATTATATGCGAAGTACTAATTATGTACATATTATGTACATATTATAACATTATAATTATTGCACATTTTTATATAATATTACGATAATATTACGAGCGATATTCTTATTACATTCTGCGAAATTATTATATTCTCCGACGCGAAGTCAGAAACTATTCTCACGCGAAATCCGCCGTAACAATATCACAGACTCATTCCTCGAGAGCAGTCGTAATTTTCGCGTAATTAAACCATACCATTACCAACGATATGCTTAGGGTGAGTCAAACGCATGTCGCCGCTCGCAATGTAATAACGTTCTTAGCTCGGTGATTCGGCGGGGAGGGGGAGGGGGGGGGGG